GTGAATCGATATGTGTTTACATTACATTTAAATCCGCTCGCACCGCAGGTGCTGGGGCGTGTGTATCCGGATGGCATAGTCAATCGCAAGATTTCAGCTTTAGTTGGGGGGGGCCCTTTATCCGCCAAGAAACCTGAGTTGTCGAAGGTTGTTGAAAGTCGAGCGCAAAATAGCGTCGACGTCGTAAAACCTTGCATTTGAGGCCAAGCACTCACTTGCGCACCCCCAAATAACCTCACTTGCGCACTTTACCTCACTTGCGCACTTAGCACTCACTTGCACACTTTCAGGGGGAAAGTGAAGGTGAAAGGACATTCAACCACCAACAATCTATTGGGTGGGGGGGTAGGAGAAAATGAAAAGATACTCAACCACCAAACAATGTAAGTTCTTGCACCTGACATGTAATTAGGTGAGGTTACTGAACACAACTGCTCATTAAAATTACATATCTTGTTGGGGTGAAGTGGGTGGGTGGGGGGGGGGGGGGGGGGGTGGGGGGGTTAATAACGTCTTTGTTGACATTCTTCCACGTGATGATCTTTATTGAATATGTGCTTCCAAAGAACCATGTGATACAAATGTTCTGTGTCTGATCTAGTTAGTTAGTGTGTTTGTTTGTTGAATAGATAGCTAGTTAACTAGTTAGCTAGCAAGCTAGCTAGTTAGTGAGTACTATGATGTTGTAGTAGTAGTAGTAGTAGTAGTCAGTAGTAATGGTAGTGGTAAAGGTAGTAGTAGTAGTAGTAGTCGTCGTGGTAGTACTATTCGTCTGCGTCTTCGCGGTCGTCGTCGTCGTCGTCGTCGTGGTCTTCGTCGCAGTAGTATGATGTAGTAGTAGCAGTAGTAGCAGTAGTAGTAGGAGTAGTACTTGTAGTAGTGGTAGTTGTGGTAGTATAGTGGTAGTGTAGTGGTAGTGGTAGTGGTAGTGGTAGTGGTAGTAGTAGTAGTAGTAGCAGTAGTAAGGAGTAGTAGAAGTAGTAGTAGTAGTAGTAGAAAAATGCACAAGCGAGGTAAATTTGCAAGTGCACAAGCGAGGTAAATTTCAAGTGCACAAGCGAGTGCTCGCCCGCATTTGATGCAGGTTTTGAGACACACAGATTTCTGAGCCGTTCTTGAGAAAGTTGTTTAAACGAGAACGTGGTTTTGTTTTCGAGATTTGGTAACTTGAGAGAGGAGGGGGTGAACGAAAGGTAGCAGGCAATCACAAGTAACCCTGGTAGAAGTCCATGACGGCGTGAACCGGCGCAGGGGGGATTTGATCCAGGGAGGGGGGGGCCCCCCCCCCCGACGAACAGAATCAACTCTTACAGGACCAAATTCAATGCACAATCCCAACGCCTGATTGTAATACATTTTTGCTAAAGCAAGGAGAACTCAGGTAGCTCAAGCTACCTTTCGTGAAAAATAACCAGGTAGAACCGGCATCAACAAACACCAGCGGCTTCATGGTACAGCTCTAGCTGGCTAGGGTTTCATGTTAGCCAGATAGAACCGGGATGATGGGAATCTATATATATATATGTAGCTTTTTATAGCACTCAGAACATCTTTTGAAAAGCAGTTTCAATCTAGCCACCACCAGTGCTTGCAACGATACTATAACATTTCTCCTGTAGCATTACCACAAACATTTCTCCTGTTGCGGGCGCACCCGGCCGCGTAGCCGGGTGAATACATGCATATGGGATCGGCTACCTTAAAAGCGGAACTGCACCCACTTTATACATGTATATACCTGAGAAGGGAGGGGGCAAAAGCCAGCCACCGTAAAGGATATCAATATGGTCCCCCAAGCAACTCAAAGCTTGCCCGCTGCATTCTGTTCCCTCCCTGTTCTCAATGAATGGGTCACATCGTTTCTTGCAATCCCTCTTTTCCTATCACGTCCTCCTCCACTATGCCTGTCTCGTCCACATGAACTCCCACCCCATATCAGGTGCCCGTTTCAGTCCGGCAACTAGACCTCATAACCGTTAAAAAAGGGCACCCCCAAGCAATTCAAAGCTTGCCCGCTGCACTTTGTTCTCTTTCCTGCCCTCAACGGACCACAGCATTACATGAACTCGCACCCCATATGATATGCCCTTTTGCGTATACAGGCGTCTTCGCCATAAAAAAAAGGGCACCCCCAAGCAACTCTAACATTTCTTGCAAACACTCTTTTCCTACCACGTCCTCCTACGCTATGCCTGTCTTCCACCTTCCCGACAGCGTTCTGGTTCCTCACAGATCACACAGTGTCTTAAGAGACACACACCTCCCTTTCATGAGAGGCGCGCATTTCCCTTTTCCGGAGGAGTTCCAACCACTTTTCGCACCCCGTTGTCCCTTCTTATCTATCATTGACATGAACACCCACCCTGGTAGAAAACGGCTTACATTGCCTCCTGAGCCCTTACTGGCCCTCAATTACATCACCGGCATCACAACACCCCCAAAAACTACTCATTTTCACTACCAAGTGGCCACCGCTTTTTTCGCTCTCCCCTACCCTGCTCGCAACCAGCCCGCCCACTCACTTCGTTCGCTCCATCAACCTCAAGCCTTGCCTATCGGCTGGCTTTCGTGACCCACATACGTACCTACATACATGGAATACATATTCTGCTTATTGAGATTGACACGGGTGTGGCAGCGGCGCAGACGTGGGGTGTCCTTCATTTGCTTTTGGAGCTTGATCTTCGGCATCTCCTCAGTGGTGGCCAAGAGGTTGATTGAGGTCCTGAAGAGATGATTTTGCTTGCCATTCGTCCAAGATGCCCATGCCTGCGGAGACATGACATGGATCTTGAAGCCTGCGCCCCCTTCAACATAGTGACTAAGTGCAGAGCAAATCGTGGCCCGTAGAACCAAGGACTGCCGTTTGTTTCCCAGGGAGGACAGCAAAGAGTTTCAGTTTCAGCTCATCATTATCCGACCAGGCTCACTGGGCGGCATGTCTCTACCCACAAGGACTCAAGGTACCACCAAGGCTGCCAAGGAGACAGCGGCAGTTTTACTTGAGGGTGAAATGGCGGAGGACAAGCGCTACAAGAAAATTGCGCCTTTGGCATCGGCCATCTTGCACGTGAAAATTCCTCTTTGACAAACAACACTTCATGCATGTCCATGCCCGGCAGCGGGAGCAACATGAAGGACACACTTGGGAGGAGCAAGGACGTAGCATGGTGTACAATCTGCAAGCTCCGGCTGACTGTGCAAACAAATTCCTTATGAGCACCTTCAGCAACTCCAGCAAGAGAGACATGAGCTTGATCAAAAGGAGCCAAGCTGGAGCGCTGACAGCGGGCTCTGAGACCAAGAAGGAGTTTCTTGCAAGCGTCATCAACGGGGAGATGGATGGCATGGGGCGCCACTATGGGCTCAAGACAAACTACCTGGCCTGTACCTCCTGTGGCCTCATGACCTTGAAGCACAGCTCCAAGGACAAACTTGAAGTGCTGGAAGGAAGCACTGGCTTTGCCTCCTGGCTGCCAGGACGGAAGAACACACGCACCGCATGTGGAGGGCCAGAAGGTGTACTGTACAGTGTGTCAGAGTCATGCTGTGTTAGCGGAGAGGAAAGATTCCAAACTCCTCATCGGCAGCGGAAAAAATGAGCAGAAGACGTTGCCCTTTCTCTTTCGATCCTGCACTTAGGAGGCAGTTGAAACGGATTCCCAAGATGCTGTTAACTCAAAGCGTTGCAGGAAAAAAGGAACTCTTGTGCTTAGTGCCAGCGAATACAATATGTGGGGGCACACGCTTGACCGGCGCCATGACTCTGGAAGTTCAGAAGCAAACAGATTATGAGGCATGCACTTTTTGCTCTCCATTGTTGCAGTGTATAGTATACAGTATTAGGATTTGTCACAGTAGGTGTTTTGCATTTGCAGAAAAACGCAGACCAGTTCTTTGGCAAAAGGGCCCACCTCTGACAGCCGCTTCAGCCTTCCCTGTTCCTGGTGAAGTGGAGAATGACTGAGCGAAAAATTGCAGACAGCCAGGCAATCGAAATGAATTCTGAGCTCGAGAATTCCAAACATGGATGAATCCTTTTCGAGCAAAGCGAAGGACTCAACTCACGTGACTCGCTGTCGAAGGACTTTTCCCAAAATTGAAAACATATACTCAGGTACTCATTGCAATGCCAGAAAAAGGGAAAGACAGAAAGGTCTTTTTGCACACGCCCTTCAGCTGCAAGCTCCCTATCGCCCACGTCCTTGGAAAGTTTGGTCGTCCACGAAATCTTCTCAGAACACCTCTATCTTAATGACGTTCTTCAATCTTCTCAATTCGCATGCACACATCGACAAACAAGCGAACACTGTAGAAAGTCCTAAACTCTTCGCTTTGCAACGTCAGAAACCCTTTTTACCAGCTGGATAGTTGTCTCGACTCAACCAGGCTGCTATGTCTGCTATCTTCCTTTTTGGTGAAAAAACGCAAACATGGGCCCCAAACAGTTTCAGCATTTCTTTTTGGCGTCAGCTCCTTGAATTCCAATGTTGGTCGTAACATCTGCATTGAGAATTGCATGTCAACAAAAATGCTAGAAAACAATCGCTCCTGATTCCCAGGGTCACGTGCGTAAACACGAAGGGATATATGTAATGAGAAAATCCAAAGACACCCGAAAACAGGGAAAGCGGCGTGGCCAAGCAGGAGCCGGACAAGCAAGGCGGGGCGGCTGAGAGACCTGGACAAGGACAACGCACGACCTACGGCGTGGCCAAGCCCGAAACATCCCAGACAAGGACAGGATGAGGCCACTAAACTGCTTGGGGAACAAGAGGGCACTGGGTTCGCCAGCGCGGCTAGAGGACACCACGACAACAGCAGGACACAGGTCGCGCGGACAGTGGAGGGGAAGAAGAGGACAGGAGGACAAGACCCGGACTCAGGGGTGCGGCCAGAGACTGTGGCCAGTGTCTTTTTTCCTAAGAGAGAAGTGAGAAAAGCCCAACAAAAAGCTGTTTGGGGGGGTACAAACAACAACTTGTTCGAGACTCCAAGCATCAGCACGGGGCTGCTGCAAGATCTCCAGCGCCAACAACACGTCCTCCTTCGTCAAGCCGACCTCGCTCCTGGTGCTGGGTAGCTACTGATTCGGACCCAAACTCAAAATATCTGCAACTATCATGTCCAGTGCTCACTTGCCTGCAATGGACGAAGTGATGTGCCAGCACACCCAGGCCTGGGCCAATTTGAGGCGAGTGCGGGGGAAGGAAGAGCGAAGACCGAAGATGAAGATAGTTTGCGGTGCGTACTCCCCAAAACCTCACCGCAGGGAGGGTCAAGGGTGCACTGAGTGAACTGGGTGCACTGGGTGCACTGCCATGCTACTTTCCTGCTTGCCAACTTTCCAGTTTCCTTTTTGATTCAAGTACTACTCAGCAAGGAGAGCTTTGACTTGAACTCTAACGACGGCTTCGGCCGAGTGTTCATCAATCAAAATCTCAGAACTTCACCTGCTGTGCGTCGGTCATCCAGGATCACAAAGCCAGACACTTCTGGATGATCCTGAGAAACATGTGTTTCCGAATGCAAGAAGGAACATTTGACAAGGGGTGTGATCTGCTCAAAAGCTGTGACACGGCACAATTAGCGGCCTGCAGCCACGCGCAAATTTCCTCGCTTCTGCTGGCATAGACCTCACGTCGAAATTCTATCGTCTCCTCGACCGAGGAACCGAGACAGAACCGAGACGGACAGCGAAAGTGTCCAGTTACTAGAAGCTCTACTAGCTAGTAGCTTAGTAGGTAGTCCCGATGGCCTCCAACCTAATAACAATGGCCTCCAACCTACCAGCGATGGGCTCCAACCGAAAAGCAAAGGCCTCCAACCGAATAGGGATGGCCTCAAAACCAGATAGGGATGGCCTCCACCCGAAAAGGGATGGCCTCAAACCAGATAGGGATGGCCTCCAACCGAATAGCGATGGCCTCCAACCGAATAGCAACCGAAAAGCGATGGCCTCCAACCGAATAGCGATGGCCTCCAACC